TAGAGGGATAGGAACATGTTCACAGTTGTACTGTCTCAGGAAGACGTCTGAATTAACACTAGTGAAATGTAGCCTTCTGACAAAGTCTCAGCTCTGAAACTTGTGTTATACTTTGTGTTATGAATATTACATGGATTCTGCACTTTTACTTACTGGCATCTGGCTTCATTTTTGCAGAAGGACATCATGAAAAGCAGAATCAGAGAGAGAAGAGTCACTATCAGGACTTTATGACATGCTTTAAAAGACACATTGCTGGGGGCTGGCCCTATGGCTGAGTGGTTAAAGTTCTGTGCGCTCCGCTTTGGTGGCCTGGGTTCATGGGTTCTGATCCCGAGTGCAGACCTATTCCACTCATCAGCCATGCTGTGGAGGCGTCCCACATACAAAGTAGAGGAAGATTCACACGGATGTTAGCTCAGGGCTAATCTTCCTCAAAAAAAAGAGGAAGATTGACAATGGATGTTAGCTCAGGGTGAATCTTCCTCACCAAAAAGAAATCAAAACAGATACATTGCTTTATTTATATTTCTGTCCTGTGGTAGAAAAGAAATAGTCCTTGAAGTATGAAGACATAGATTTGAATACTATCTCTATTGATTTCTGGATGTTGGACCTTGGACACCTTCCATAGTCTCTCATAGTCTAATTTCCAAGGCTATAATTTTATAGAGGATAGTGATGCCTCCAGGGTTGTTATGAGGTTAAATAAGAAGGGAATGTAAAAGCACATAGTAGATCCACAGAAGATGTTAGTTAAATTTATTCTTTCATTTCCATACCAACTAGTTGTTGACTGCCTATGATGTTATTTACTATTCCATGTGACTCTTACATATCAATGAATAAAGCAATGATGCCCTACCTTCACAAAGTTTAAAATCTATTTGGGAAGGGGGATTTGAATCTGAGTCTAAACAATAATAATAATTGATATTTGCTTTTAAAACATATGTCAATTAACCTTTACAGCACACTTGTGAGGAAGATGGGGCTTATGGCATGATCCCCAAAATATAGACAATCACATATGTTTACAAAGCTTTAGAGGCTTTCCAAAAGTCAGATAATTTGTGGCAAAACCAGGAAGACAGAACTCAATGTGCTGATTTCAAAGTCTAACATTTTCCTGCTCTGTCTTGCTGCCATGAGGCCTTGAAAAATGTGTTACATATTGGAAGTATACTTAGTAATTATAGATGTAGTTAACTTGTTGACCAGAGGAGAAAAGCAAAGTGAGAAAAGAGATATTCTGTTCTTCTGGGGATTGCATTTAAAGCAGAATCCCATACAGGGAAATCAGATTTGTTCGGGTCCTCCCCCTGTTTAAAGTCATTCCCACCCTCCTCCTAGCCTTCAGATTCAAGTTCAAACTCTTTAATATACATTCAAAGCTGTTTAGGGATCAGGGATTAGACTAAGACTGTACTGTGCTATCTTTAACAAGGATAGCTACTCAGTGTCAAGGACCTGTGCTCAGTGCCTTCCATATGTTCTCACTAATCCTTAGAATAAGCCTGGAAGATAGGTATCATTGCCATTATTTTATAGATGAGCCACAGAGCTGGAGAGTGGTACGTCCAAGAATGAGAGCACAGGTGTGATTCAATTGATTTTGTACCTTTCAGTATCTTGCATTGTGGTAACTTCAACACTCTCTAAATTCTGAGTTTTATACCTGCTTCTTGTCCTTGTCACTTAACTTAGAATTTCCTTCTTCCATCTTTTCTATCCTTTAAGTCTCAGTTCAAACTATTAGCCCTTTTATAGAGCTTTCTTGAAGCCCCTGCCCCACCCCACCTCCTGGCTCAGATAGATGATGTTCTTTTGTGTCCTTAGCACCTTGTACATAATAGAATTCAGACATGCATTGTGCTGAATTATGACTGGTTTAGTCATCTCTCTCATCAAGTAAACAATGAGCTCCTTGAGGACAGGGCTCCTACCTCTGTCACCTTTGCACACCCAACACCTTGCACTGCCCCTGCTCCACAATTAGCATGCCTGCTTATTTGTTGAGCAGGATTAGGACTATTTGGATACCAGCATATTTTTAATTTAGCAGAGTGTTAAAACAGATAATTATGTGATCAGACCCGCCTGCAGATTCTTGAAAACCAGGACTCTTAAGGGAGAACTGAATCATGCTTTTGTCTTAAGCACTTTATACCGAGGTCTTCAGTATGACTAGTAATATCAGAATTGTTTGACGGGTTGGAATCTAGAAGAATTTTGCTCCGTGGGGCAGCGTGTGAAAATATCTTGTAGAATTCTCAGTTACTCATCTCCTTTCAGCTCAGCTAGATAAAGCAACCAAGTCCTGTTTCATGGTGTGGCTTCCTCCCCAGGATTTACGAGTCTAATTCTTGGGTAAGGTCTCAAAGTTAGTGCTGAGTACCTTTTGCTATTGCCACCTTAGGATAAACCAGAGAGAGCTCTGAGCTGCAGAGGATATCTATTACCACCATAACTCTTGGCTCATCCTGCAGCTTTCTTTCTGGCCCTGGCAGAAAAACTGAGATTATGAAACATGGTATCCTGCACCACAGTCCCACATGAGATTCATGAATTTTTAGCTCCCTTCAGACAACCTGGTGCTCTGGTTACTACTATCCGCTACACAAATTACTGTCGATGACCCCGTTATTTCTGATTAGTGAAGGTGAACCTTACCTACCTGAATGTAAATAAATACCAATAGAGTTCTTGAATTCCTTTATCTTTAAAAATTTATAGCTCTTAATAGAACACGCACTGTAAATAGCATCATATCATGAATTAAATCTTTATCATGTAATTGGATACATTTCCTAAGCTAATTTTAATTGCTTCAAGAAACTGCTTAACATTGTAGAGCAATCCCCAGGTCCAAGATGACATTTTCTTTGCAAAATTAATTATTAATACCCTGATCATTTGCTTAAGACATTAATAGTTTTCATTGATCAGCACATCCTGTTTATCCAAAATGTCCTAATCACCATGCATGTCATAAGAGTATCTGAACATATCCAATTAGAGACGTTGCCTGCTTCCAGCCACATCAGCAGATCAGAAGTTAAGGGTCCCTTTTGTCTTCACAACATAACTAATCTAGCTTTATCAGAAACTGAGCTATTTAAGGGCAGAAAAGAAAGGTGAGTTCTCTAATGATGGTTCTTCACTTTCTATGAGCTTCCTGGTAAACATAAAGGCTTCTCATTGACCACGCAGTATAAATTAACGCTAAGAGCCCTTGATTAGCCAGCTTGTGTTTGGTCCTTGTTTTCATGCGTGGCTGCATTTGCTCACAGTGTTTTCCTTATAAACGAGAGTAAGATGAGAAGCCCCAGGTTATTATCAGCTTAAAAATACTGGAGCTACAATAATGATAATATCTGGCATTTGTATGGTGTGTAGTTTTCAAAGACGTCTCATTTACTTAACCAGGAGGTTTCCCTTGTAACAACCTTAAGAGGGAGGTAGGGTGGCATGGATACCCAGGACCACACAACTAGTTATAGCCAGAGTTGTAAACAGGATGCGAGTCTCCCAGTTCCCTAGATTTCTCGCTTACGTGATAAACTGGTGAATAGGAAACATCCCCCTCGTCTTTCAAACCCCAGTGGGAGCTCATCTCTTTTATGAAGTTTCCCAGGCCAGAAAGTTTCCTCCTTCCTTCATAATGGCTTACTGTATTGAAGTTTTATGAAATTGCAGGTAAATGTCCCCACTAGAGTAGGAGATCCTTGAGGCTAGAGCTGGTATCTTCATTTTAGTGGGTCCAGGCCCTCACCTACTGTCTGGTAGGCAAAAGGTGCTCCATATATGCATAAATACATGGCTGGCTGGCAGGATGGAAGGGAGAAGGGACGGGTGGATGAGAGCAAGCACAATTTTCCTAAGGTCATGCTGAAAACCTTCGGCACATGAGGGAAATTTGGCTTTGTTTGGTTTACACAGTGTTTAAAAATATATACATTTTGAATTGGTTTCCAACATTTAAAACTTGGGAGATTTTCAACATATGATAATATTTTCAATTTTTCTTTGAAAAGTTGTAGGTGCTCCTGCAACCCTAGGTCTGTGCCTCACATGTGAGCCATCAGCTTGAGCTGAGGAGCAGCTGCCCCTTCAGACAGGGCATGTCTGTGGCCTCCAGAGTGCCTGTGTCTGCCTGCCTGCTTCACTCATTCCTTTACCTACTTTGTAGCTGTACACATCCCTTCTCCCATCCATTCTGCCATCCTGCCATGTATTTATGCATATATGGAGCACCTTTTGCTTGCCAGACACTAGCATAATTTTTGTAGTTTTTGGTACACAGAACAAGCAGCCTCTGTTTACCACAGAGTTCTCCTGTTTTAAGATTCCTGGCTAACGGAAGAATTACTGTTCTTAATCATGCTCTGGATTTGTCCAAGAGAACGTAATAGACAGCTACTCATAGTTGGTAGAATTTCTCTCAGTAGGCACTAGAGCTGCACATTTCTATTACGTTTAAGTAATGAAGCATAGAGCATAGGAAAAAATGTTTGAATTGATGGGGTAGTTATAATTTTCTCATATATAACTTCATTCTAAAACTTGAGAATTTCTACTTAAGGTCCATCAATGTTAACTCTATCTTTTTCAGTGGCAGTTCTTTTATATTCGCTTTTTTGGGGTATATTAATTGGAAAATTAATAAGAACAGAGACTGGAGACTAAGGGACTGAGAAGGACCATGTGAAAAATAGTCCATTCCTCAACCTTCAGGGTGATTCATGCCAAATCAGCTGTTTTTGTCTTCATTCAGTAGCCACAGGGACACGCCAGCTCCAGTCTCTGCCCAAGTATTATTTGGAAGAAAAGGAAAGAAGGCTTATTTGCTTCATATTCATAATTTAACGTGTTTCTGTTTTCTTCAATAGTACTTTTCCACAAGTGAATTTTATTTGTATTAAAGTAAGGATAAATTTACAGAGACTACAAGGAGAAGTATTCCCAAATCTCATTGTAATGTCTCTTCTTTCCCACAGATTAAAGGTTGAACAAAACTTAAAAGAAGCAGCGAATCTATTCACTTGTTATTGGACTTGAAACTCCTTTGACCTCAGAAACTGAAGATGAAGTTGCCATGGGAACTGCTGGTACTGCAATCATTCATGTTGTGCCTTGCAGGTAGAGTGTCATTTTCAAACTTTTTGATTTAAAAATGCTCGTGTATTTCACACTAATTCAAAAGCGGGCTTTCACTTTAGATGGCAATGATAAAATTGTCAGAGTGCACACTACTATGACTAACATTTGCTGACACTGCTGAATACACTTTCCTGATGATCTTTTAGTAGCTCTTTTCATGATGTTGTATCCAAAGCTAGACATTGATGTTTTACCTGTCTATCTGGTCCTTTTAGAATCGCTTGAGCCTTTATTTAGTTTGAAAGTTGTTATTTTTGCTCATCCCAGTGCTCCATTGCACAGAGATGCTGGGCAATAAAACTGATAATACAGTCTGGAGTATTGCCTACTTTGATGTCAGTGGATGGAAGTTTATCTGGGTAGCTCTTTCAATGTCTTTGTTGATATCACAGCGTCTTTTGATACTGACTTGCTTTCTTTTTCATTTCAATATACCTATGACTTAGCAGGAGCCAGAAAGCAAAATGATAGGAGATTTTTACCATATACTCATGATCAACCACTGGACAAGAGCTTTAAAAAGTTCAAACAGGCTATTTATTGTTTTCTTGGTTTTCTGGAAGATGTGAGCCTACCGGTTGACAGATATCATTCAAGTGTTGAGGCAACATAAGTCCAGCATGCACTGAGAGTTTTTTCCAGGTTGGGATGGTGGGCATCTTTCCAAGTCTTTTTGAAATGAGTCTAGTTGACCTACTTGATTATTCAGAGTGTGCTGTCTAAGAGGGACATCTGGAATATATTTGCATTTTTACAACATGAAACAAAAATGACTTTTGGATCACCATTACTTTGATTCATGTGTTCATTCAAATAATGTTACTGAGTACCTTGCAAGGAGCCAACTCTATGCTAGTATCTAGGAATACAATTCTTAGTAAGACAGATAGTTACTGCCCTCTTAGAACTCTGTTAGCTGAGTTCTATAGCTGTGTAGACTGACAGCATGTTATGGTAGATTATTTGCAATTGTTATACAATTAAAGTTAGTGATGGTAGTACTAACGTGTATGAATCACTTACTCCATGACAGGTGCTATGCTAAGCAGTTGGGGTACTTTATCTCATTTCATTCTCTCATGACCATTAGGAAGTATTTACTATTTCCTTTATTCTTATCACTATTATTATTAATATTATTACTGAAACAACAAGAAGTTAAGAGTCTCATCCAAGATCACCATGCCAGTAAGTGGTAGACCTAATAAGATTCAAACTCAAGTAGACTAACTCCAGAATCCATACTTTTGACCACCATAATATACAGTCTTTTAGCTATCTTGCTGATTTGGTCAATTCATGGTTGCAAATTTATTCTTGAAATTTTGATTTTCATTCTATGTTTTTCTACATATAAACTCTCTTTCACTTGCAAATCTTCTAATTCTTGCCTTAGTTGAGTTTACAACATCCTCATCATTCCCTAATCATGGACTTTTTGGCATCCGTCCAGCCATCTCTTTTAGAGATATTACTTCTCTCACTCATCTGGTCAGAACCTAAAGCTTCCTCCCCAGCAGTATGTCTCAGGCTCTGTAGAATATAAGTTTTGTTTCGTTTCTTTTCTTTTTTTTTTTTTTTTGCTAAGGAAGATTCTCCCTGAGCTAACATCCATTGCCAATCCTCCTCTTTTTAATTTTTTTTTTTGCTTGAGGAAGATTAGCCTTGAGCTAACGTCTGTGCCAGTCTTCCTCTATTTTGTATGTGGGTTGCCACCACAGCATGGCTGATGAGTGGTGTAGATATCTGCACCCAGGATTCAAACCCATGGGCTGCAGAAAGTGCTGAACTTAACCACTAAGCCACAGGGCTGGCCCCTCAGTTTCTTGTCTGCAGTCTGTTCATGCACCTTGACCCTCCTAAAAGACCTCAACTGAGACAATCTGGCCCTAAGTTCTCATGACTCTGGGATAGACATATGCTTTAGAGCATAAGGCAGTGAATCAATTTCTCAGTATCTGGCTACAGCAATGTGTTTATTTAACCCATGGTGGTGAGTACATATCAAGAAGTTAAAGGGTTGAAAATCCAGGAAGCCATCAGTCTCCTCAACTGTGTTTTAAAAAGCTCGGAATTCTCATCTATGTACCTGTATCTTTTTTATTCACTTAGCTTTTTGTAGAGAATCAGTATGTTGATTGTTTCTGTGAGGTTTTGTGTATATGTATGTGAACTGTTTTACATGGCATTAATATTCTTTACTATATGCCTCCTTCAGTGTAGGTAAAGTCAAGCTTTAATTAATGTTTTTGTTTTCTTGCTATTTGTCTTGATTTCATTAATTTGCATAGCACTAGTCATTCTGAATTTTGAACAGATTTCTTTAACTGCTTTAACTGTTCATTCTTTTCCTTTTCTTTACTTCCTTAGCTGTTGATTTTTTTGGTGAGTTTTTGGCAAGGAAGATATTTATGTCTATTATGTTTACCATAATTAGTGAATCTCAAATATGCCTCTTCCTGATCTTTTTTCCTTAAATAAGATAGAGATCAAAATGAATAAGCAGGCTACTCCTGTAAGAGATGCACCTTGAAAGGTCTGCTAATTATTTGAGGGCATTGATTAGTAATTTATAGTACAATGGAAATGTTCTCTTTTCCCAAATGCTAGATTCAGTCTCTGACAATAATTTTCGAAATAAGACTACTGATGTTAGTAGTCTGAAATTCAGTCTTTACAAAATTGGCTTTATTATTCTCCCTTTTAATTAATTTAAACCAGGAATCACAAAACCCTATGGCCTAAAAGATCCAGGAAGCTAACAAATGAGTAAAATATTCTTAAAGAAATAGTGACTCCTACAAACAATAGTGAAAGCTGATGAGTGTGGAAAACTGGAGAAAACATGTTCCACTAAAGTAACAACCAGTGCCCAGCTCTATTCTTACATGCCAGGCCTCCCAGTTTTTTGAGATTTTTATGTATAAGTCTCCTAATTCTTTATCATTGCCAACTAATTCAAATTAATTTAAAAATAAAAGAACTGTATAAAAGAAACCAAAACGCTCTTCAGGCTAAATGCAATTCCTAGAGCACCAGTTTGCAAAGTTTCTTTCAACCATTTGGTTTTTCTTTGATATTAGACACAATGCCGAGTACGTTAGATCTTAGGGTCTTTGTACTAACTCTTCCTTTTGTGGAGAATGCTCTTGCCCTAGATATTCCCATCACTTGCCCTCTAACCTTCTTTGTATCTGTGCTCAAATGCTACTAGTTGACGCTTGTCCTGACCACAGTAAATAAATTAAAATAGCAATATTCTCTTTCACCAACATTTTTCTCCAGAGCTCTTATCAATATGAGTAACTTTATTTTTTATTTGTCATTGTACTAAATGTCTTTTCCCACTAGATTGAAGCTTGATTAAAGCAGATACTTCTGTTTTTAGTTCACTGCTCTATCCCCAGCATCTGGAAAGTGCCTAGTGTACATAGTGCCATTTGATAAGTAAATATATGTCAAATGAATAAATGCTGCATCCTGGCCAGACATGAGTTACAGAGAGCAGGTTTCCAGTTTCAAGCTGTGCTATGGACCCAAGGCATGCTGTAGTCACCTTTATGTTAAAGCAGTGAACTAGCCACCTCTGAGGCTAATCCATACAAAAGTTTTTAAAATTAGATTTAAACACGTAAAGTATTAAAATTGGTTTGTGTGCCTTGAACTCTATATCAGATGCTCTTTGTACAACACTCCCTCACCCATTTCTGACTTGAGCTACAGCTAGGTGGACTGTCTTGCTCTGTATTTTTCTGCCTCAGATCTTTTTCTAAATTCACAAGCAAGGGGAGCTATGAGGAGTTAACTTCCTCCTTGGGTGCAGTCCTCAACCGATAGGGCATGAGACTCAGTAGATATATGCCTCAGCCTCTTGTCATTTGGAAGGACAATTCTTAGGCACATTCTACACAGTTCCCTAGAGGTTCCCAGCAAGACCAAATACCAGTTGCCCGCAGTTGTTCTGCCTTTTCCTTCTTCAACCCTCTTTCCTGGGATCATCTCCCAAATAAACTAACTTTCCAAGTTCTTCTCTCAGGCTGTGCCTTTGGGGGAATCCAAACCAAGAACATACACACACCTATTAATAGCAGACATGCAGCCCAGTATTGATCATGTCAGTAATTAGGAAGAAATCAGACAGGAAACATAGCTTTGACGGAGATTATGGAAGTGTTTGCCTTGATGTGGATTAATATACGCATATGTATGCAAGTATTTAAATGAGTATATGTACATATGCCTCCATATAGCTATGTGAGTATTATCTGGTCCTTTAACCAGATAGTTTTACTATTAACCAACTTTTTTACTCTTTGTACTATTTACTAGTTTTATTGTTAGTCAGCTGTTGGACAAGTCAGCTTGCCTCTCGGGGATTCTGTTTATACCTCTGTACAATGAAAGAGTAGAACAGATGGCCCTAAAGTCCTTTTCAACTCTAAAAGTATGTAATTCTAGCTATACACATGGTTTGAGAGGCAGATATATATGCTGAAAGGGTTAGAGCTAAGCCTGAAATTTTATTCAACTAATATGAAATTTTACATAGGTCCTATGCTTTACCATGTGTTACTGATTCTATTCACATTGGCAGAATTTGAAAGAAAGAATAAAATGGCTAGTCCATATGTTCATCTGCAGCAAGAGGCATAAAGACATTTAAAAACCCTCCCTGAATGAGTAAAAAAATGTTTGTTTGACGTATTCTCAGTTGATCTTGGTTTTAGGGAGGCTAAATTTATTCCTATCTCTATGGCACAGTTTACCAACTTCAGCAATTCTCTTTTTTCAGAAAGTGCATCCTCTTCAAATGCAAGCATTTTGTTGATTTGTTCACAGTGCCGCTGTTACAGCTGTGTATGGGGGTAGACAGTGGAGAAAAGGTCCTGTGTAATTCAAGAGAGACATATTCTGGGACTGGTGAGAGTTCACAAAAAGTAGAGCAAGGAGGAGACCTGGGGTGAAGAGTTAATCACAGG